CACACACACACAGACACACACAGACACACACACACACACAGACACACACACACAGACACACACACACACACACACACACACAGAGACACACACACACACTCTCACACTCTCACACACTCTCACACACACACTGAGGACAATCTGATAGAGGGAGAATGTGCTCTTCTATTTCTTTCATCTTCATCCCAGTCCTGTCTTCCTCCCCCCTCAGATTCACAACAACAGGATCTTTGTTGGTCGTCTGTAACTCCAGACGCTGAGAAACCTGCAGAGTGTGTGTGTGTGTGTGTGTGTGTGTGTGTACATGAAGTGAGGAGCAGACGGGTTCCTGTGTGTGTCCCGGTTTAAACGCCCATTATGTGTTTTGTATATGTCAGAAATGGATTCAGCATCCTCAACAACCCTGATGAAGTTTTTTCAATATATAGCTGATTATTAATTCTAATAATGCTAATAGCAGGTCAATATCTGTCCGTGTGTGAATGCTGGAGACCCACACTGAACATTTACGGTGGTACAGTTCTGGCTCACAGTGGCTGACACATAAAAATGAAACTATATATTTGTGTTGTGTTTCTCTTCAGGAGGAACCAACGAGCTGAGAGCCACAGACAGGAAGTCATTGACAGTCGGACTAACATGTTGGTTTGGTTCTGACTCTCTCAGTCAACATTTATTGAAACTAATATTTCTAAAATAACAAACAGTAAGAAATATAATCAGGTGTTCTTTGGCCCGCAGTCGCACTTTCTACCACGTGATGTTCAGAAATCAGGATGAATTAAAAGAATAAACTGAACAAACTCACAGGATTCGACTTCATCTCCATCAGGTTGTCGAGGATCCGAGTGACCGGAAGGTTCTGAAAGAGAAGAAATAATAACGTGATTGTACTGCGGTGGAACTGACCTGTAACCCGCCCACTGCTCTAATACAATGTTATTTATTTACTGTTGTTATTTATTGTAGTTTATTCTCTTTAGTGACTGTGGCGCTCTCAGTAAATGCAGTCAGCTAACTCAGGGTCTTTACGCCTCCTCCTCCACCATTTATTAAAAACTTTATTAATACTGAACTTCAGACAGACAGGGAGCAAAAACAGTGCAAACAAAACCATAAATGTTCTTTATCTTCTTAATCTTTATTTTTAGCTTTTTTCCACCGGCCGTTGATATTTTAATCTGCCGTACAGCTCTGGTCCCGATACCTGATTTTTTATGGAGTAACGATCCAAGATGAAGATATTTTTTGGGCTTTTCATGCCTTTATTTTGACAGGACAGGAGAAGACACACAGTAAAGGGCGAAGAGCGAGGTGGGTGGGGGGGCGGCTGTTGAGTATTTCCAGGATTTTTGGTTTTAATCAATTTCCAGGTGTTTCCATGACTGGAAAAGTACTCTCTAAATGTCCAGGTTTTCCAGGGTGTGTTTAATGATGGGTGAAAGTTTCTGAGTCAGTATGATTGACACAACATGAGGTCGTATTCATTTCAAAATGACTTTACTATCCTGGGAAAAAAAGACAGCGTTTGGGAGCTAATATCTGTCGTGGTATCAGATGTGTGCACAGACGAATATGGGCACCGCGGGCAGTATCGGAGGAATCTGGGATACAGGTATCAGTGCTGTCTTTGCTGTTTCTCTTCCAGGTTGGTTGAAGGTTTTCACCGAGCAGAATCTCTTCAGGAATCTTTGTTTTGTTTGGATTCTGTTCTCTAAAATCTGGCTTTCTTCAAGTAGCGGAGGCGTGCGTGTGGAAGAAGTCTGTAAATATCCTCTCTGACGGAGCGTCAGCAGCTCGGTCCAGACCCGCTGAGTGTTTGTAATGTTCCTGCAGCTCTGTGGAGCGTCACGGTTGGACTTCAGCATGAAGAAAACAGACACCCCCTCCCTGTGTGTGTGTGTGTGTGTGCCTGATGATTATAAATGACTTCACGCTGGTGCCAGTTTCACCCTGAAACACCCCGTCATCCTCCTCCTTGTCATCGTGACTGCTGCCGTCCAGGAACGAAGACACACTGTCACATTAGGTACGCTTGATTTACCTTCCTGCCAGACACAGGCGGGTGGTGTTTTGGTGGTAAAAGCGTGTTAAATAAAGCGCGCAGTGGCTCTTTCAGGTAAGCCGAGGACGGAGGAATGTTTGGAGGCCGGTTGCCAACGGTTACGGGGGACGCGGCGCCATGTTGGAGGAGCACCAACAGAAGGAAAGACACGATGAAGAAAGAAAATGACTAAACGGAAAGAAAATGTCTAATAAATCATGTGGAAGGAGGAGAGATGAGGTTCGCAGGCGTTCTCCTTCAACATGGCGGCTGGTCACAAAGATCCACCAACCAAAACACACCAACAACCACCGATCAGCAGAAATCTGTCAACCACAACTGACAACGGAGCACGTTCAGACCGAGGAGGCTGTCACATATTGGGTCCAGATTCATGGCACTTTTCCTTAAAGTGGAACTGAACCCTTCAGTTGTTTCCTCTCAGCTGATGCAGAGACTGTAGGGGGCGTGGCCTCAACAGCGACCGCAGTGACTGACACACTGACCAGCAGTGTAGCAGGAACCGTGAGCTGTAGCTAAGCTAGCGGCTCAGAGAGGCTGACTCTCTGCTATGTGTGTGTCAGTGGGGGATCAAGGTAAAGATCGCAGTCCGGTGCTTCTACAGCGTCTAAAGTCCGAACCAATCCGCCACAATATAAACATACTGAGTAGAGGGTTAGCAACTACTATCATAATGTAAATGATGCGTCTCCATTAGTATACATTTGAAAATGATCTCAGCGGTTTCACAGCGGAGGCTCGGGGAGGTTTTTTGTTATAGAAATGTTCCAGACTGTCCACTCTGTGTCAGCACTGGACTCACAGGTTCAGGATGTCTTTAATGATGAAGAGCCTTCATTCTACAGGTGTTTAAAGCCTCATAATGAGATGATAAAAACCTATGCTAGCAGCTCTGTGAGACTAAATGTTAACATCAGCATACTAACAACGCGTTTCCATCCAAACTTATAGCAAATATTATATACTTAGTACAGAGGAGGGCAGGTCACGACTTCGCCACCCTGGGAAAGAAAATATGCCGCAGAGTCTGACCCCCTACCACATAAAAACTGTTTATTGATAATTAATAATTAGGTTGGTTGGGTTTAGGTGATGTTTGGATGCACTGCAGGTGTTTTTTTCTGTTAGTTTCCAGCAACAGAAAGAGTCTGACTCACATGCTGTTTGAGCACCAGGTTCTTCACTCCCTCCATGACGAACTGGGATCCAGTATTCATCACTCTGGAAAACAGCCTGCAGAGGACGGGGGAGGAGGAGGAGGAGGAGGAGGAGGAGTAGGAAGAGGAGGAGGAGGAGGACAGGGTTAGGCTGGTAGTCTGAACACAAACCCTGTTTCAACTGAATGAATACAATTATTTTAAAAAATAACTAACACTGCTGCTAACACTGCAGCTCAACTTGTTTTCAGGTAAGAGCAAGGTGAGCAGATTAAAGTAGTGTGTGAGTTCAGTAGTGAATGACGGGGCCACTGTTGATATTGTTTGATAACGGTTTTAATAAAAGGAAAGTATGTTGAAGTTCGAGTTGTGGTATCGAACTGGGATTAAGAATTGTGGAACTTTACTGGTACCGACAACTAAATTTCTGGTTGGTTATTACATAATGTGTAGCAGAGATAATAAATTGAGTGTATAAAAACTATTCACAACTTGGAAAAAACCCTGTTAATGATCTTAAAATGACCTTTGGAACGTGATTTATATGATAATAATGGTCGAGCTGCTTCTGTTCAGAATTTAAAGGAAAACAAATGAAGAGCTGAGTTTCCAAAATGACATCACCTCCATCTGGAAGACACTGAACGAAGAACTTATTATTCCTGTATTCAACGTTTTGGAATGACTCTTGAGTGCCTTGCTCGAGGGCAGCTTTAAAAGGCACGTTAGTAAGACAGAGTGTTTTCTTTATCTTTTGTCATATCTCTCAGCTGTTGTGGAGTTTTATGGGGTTAGACAGAAACGTTTCCAATAAACACAATCCTCAGTTTCCACCAGCAGACACACAAAGGGTTCAACAGTATTATAATCTCGAGTACAAACAGGGTTTTTTTGGACTTTTTTACATTTTAATATAAGTTTTTAAAGCAACTCTCCTGTTGTTAACTCACCCCATGGGTTTCACTCCGCTGTTGCCGTAGTTGGCCGGGGTGGCGGCCATCTTGGTAAACGCCCTGAAAAAGATGGAGGAAACCAGAATGACTCACCGTGACCAACTCGTGTGTTGAACTGTTTGTTCGTTCAGTTTGAATTCCCAGAAAAGATCAAAACATTTTTATTTTCCTTCATTCTTAGAAACAGACACGATTATTACGGTAATCTCTCTTCAAAGTTACAAAATAGCGTCAATGCTGGCAGAAGAATGACCTGATAACAACAGACAGACTTACTTCCACTGTTTGATGTAGTTGAGAGGTGAAAGGTCACAGCCTGCGTCTAACAGAGCCGTCTTATACTGCTCCAGGTCCGACTGAAACACACATTCACACAAACATTAGGGCTGATAAACTGATCAATGAACCCAAACAGCGAACTCAATAACTGCAGGAAGTTCGATTATTTCCTGTGAATATTGATCAGAGATGAGTTTTCCTGATATTTTTTGGAACCTTTATACAATTTTGTTTGTATTACGTATTTATTAAGTTTTTAACAATCAACTTTTCTTCTCATTATTCTCTCAGCTCTTGTTTTCTAATGCAGAACGAGGCTGTTCAGCTGCCTGCCGTCACATGATTAACCAAGTTAACAGAGTTTTTGAAAGCTTTGGCTTGAATCAAGGACACTTTGTTGTTTCCTTCGGCCTCTTCCTCTCTTCCAGAACACGTTGTCTGACAGTATTGATCATCTGTGCAAAACACAGACTCTGTATATAGTTATATGGATTCAAATGATCTTTAGTAAATCGACTGTACTTACTCTTTACATTTTCAAAACAGGCTTGTTACCTTAGTTTGAATGCATCTGAGTAACAAGATGAAACAGATGAGAGAGGGAGACTCTAACCTATTGGAAGTTCCAGTTAGTTTTGCACAAAAACATCCTTCTGTACCAGGAGAGTACTTTTTACTTTTATACGTTGGGTACATTCAAAGCTTTTCCACTTTTACTTGAGTAAATTAGTTGATTCAGTACTTCTGCTTTTACTGGAGACTCTTATTACACAAGAAGATGTGTACTTTTGCCACCTCTGGTAATCGAGTTGCTCTAGGAATAATTTCAGCCCAATTTCTGTCCTTTGCATTGGGACCCCATTGACATAAATGTCCTAACTCTTGTCTGGCTGTTAGCCATGAGGACGTTGCATTCTTCTTCCTGCACATTCCTTAAATTGTCAGCACCACATCAGCAGCCACGCCACCTCAGAAAGTGTCAATAACTGAGGTTTCAGTAGCGAGTTTATTGTCACACCAGATTGAAGCTGTTGTTTCAGAGGCCTCTCCAACCCGGCCAAGGAAAACACCTTGAGGAAGCGTCGCAGTATATGCACGGTAGGACGAAAACAGTCCACTGGATTCCTATCTATGGCTAGTGAAGGTGACGTAGAGTGTATCGTCTACACACAGTTTCCTCCTCAATAAGCTCCTGACGGGCAGCTCAGCGGGCGGCACGGACGGATTACACAACTGCTGAGCCACGTGAATGTGAGTCTGTGAGAGTGTGTGGGGTTGTTTTTGTAGGACTAAAGTCCCACCACATCAGTCAGAAACTCAAGCAGCACTCTGGAGAGAGATAGAGGGAGGGAGAAAAGAGTGAGAGAGAGGTCTGAGTGGGGGAGAGAGATCAAAGGAGGGAGAGGAAGAACAGGAGGCCAAGAGCTAGTCACAGAGGGAGAGGGATGACCACAGATGACAGGAAGGGAGAGAGAAAGAGAGTGGGTGGTGATGGAAGGTGAGGGGGTAATCCCGGGATCATCCGCCTCTCAGGTGGATGAAAGAGGGATAAAAGAACAAGCAAGGCTCAATTTTTGGCAGAGTTGTCTCACCGTCGGTCAGCAGAGGATGATCATCCCGAGGCTTCACTGTGAAGGCCTCAGGATGCCTCAGAAAGTGTGTTTCTGATCAGGCCCACTGTATGCAGTGACTGCTCAGGTGTGTGCAGGTGGTAAAGTCGACGGGGTTTCAAACAGCGACCATTTTCAGTGACAACTTTGAAAAAACTGTTTGACAAACTTTCTTTCACAACACATCCCGAGGGGAACATGAACATCTGAAAATGTCTTGACAGTCCATCAAAAATTGTGGCTGCAGGAATGAGTTATTGTAGCTTCTCTGGTTCCCGAAGTCAAAGAGTTTATGAATGAGTTTTTGGTTGGATGCCTGAAAGTTAAGACACTTAAAAAATACTATAAAATTCGTCAGTAAATACCCCAACTGTGAATGTTGAAGCTTTTACATGTCTAAAAAAAAAAGAATATAAGAATAAGAAGTATCTAAATGAGAATACAGAGCTTCACAACCTCCTTGTGTTTATACTCGTGCTCTTGCAAACTATTCCCACTCTTTTTAAGAAAACATTTTCCATTTTTTCAGGAAGAGTTTTTCTTAACAAAACAGGACAAAACATTCTCACAAATAATATAATTTATATACATATACAATACTAGTCAGGAACTAAAATACAACATGGATTATTTCCAGCATATCTGGTCATTTTAATCAATTTCCAGGTATTTCCATGACTGAAAAATGTGTAAGTTGTTTTCCAAAGAATTTATTTTCTGCAGTCAATGAAACAAACCCATTGGCTGTTTGTCGAAGCAACAGGTTGGACTTCAGAAATATGTAATCTCTGCAGGACTGTATTGTGATCCCTTGAGCCACGTCGCTATCTGGTGATACGATATGCATTACGAATCAATATATTGGGATACTGTAAGGTAGGCGACATATTGCGACTTTTAAAATGCTAATTATTATTTTTCTGCCAAAAGAATCACATTTTTGGCGGCCGCCACATGCTTGAACAGCGCCATACTTCATCGATCTGTATGACAGTTGGTACGCACATGTATCATGAGAGACAGGAGTTAAACATAAAATCAATAAGGTTATTTTGAGAAATGATACAATATCATAATACGATATTTTTCAATATTTTTTACAGCCCTAGTAGCTAGCATGTTTTCTACTTCGCTAAACTACATAAAAGAACTTTAAACTAAATGGAGGAAAAGCTGAGTAATATTTAGCCAACTTCACCTCTCTGTCCCAACACTGAAGTCACTGACAACAGATAACTGGAACTGTTTTTATTGGAGAGGTTTAACAGCATATTGATGGATAGCTATGACTCGTGCTTTCAAATCTTGGCCTTTTTTACTGATGTTGATTGATCGCTGACTGAATAATTGAGACAGATTGTTAAAATTATTTCTGCAGGTGTACAAGCAGAGCCCACAGCAGCAGCTGGAGGCCTGGACTTGGACACCACTGACTGACTGCATTTGAAGGTTTGGGGAAATTTTAGGGGTAAAAAAAAAAAAAGATCTGCAGGTGTTCTCTGGTCTTGCTGAAGTTCGGGAAGTTTTAAATACCTACAGACATCTTCACGGAATAAGTGCAAACATCAAAATGTGCTATTGAGTACAAAGACTGAACTCCTGGTGCATTAGTTTTTTTCAGTCCCTGTCATATCATAAAGGATGAGAGGCGATTTCTGCCAAACTAAACCTGATCCAGCTGTCTTCTTTTTACAGTGACTCTAACCAGGTCTCTGTTTTCTGGAGGAACTTTGGCTCAATCGTCTTTGTTCAACCACTGGCTCATAATGCAATTATAAAAGCGGTGGGGCCAGGAAGATGCTTCCCATAAAGCCCGACCAAAATATTGCTATTGATCAGTGAAATGCGGTTTTGAGGACACGAGGGCACAGCTGACTTGAAACCATCTGTCTAAACCATTCCTACTGTTTGCCAATCCACAGCTGGTGATGTAAGCGTCCCTTGTGCTGTTTTAGTTTGAGTGTTGGTGGAGAAGCCTGGCCTGGGACGATGGGAAAAACTGGAGGACTGTCATCTGAGAAGCTAAGTGAATTTTTGTTGTTTGATTTTGTCCAACGACACAAATCTCAAGAGGAATTTCTGCAATCCCCGAAATAAACACCGTCCCTACACGCACTGAGGATAAACCGCAACAATCTAATGCTTCACAGGTCTGACAGACTATCTGAGCTGCCATTTCAGTTCACTTTGTTCACTGACACTGACATTGTGTTCTTGTTGGTTTCTGTTTAGGATAGGTAGATATTTTGTTTTGTACAAACCAACCAGATCAGTTCTGGGTTAGTGCTAGGATAGTGAAGTCATGACCTGCTCTATTCTTAACCTGATTGAGGCCATACAACAAAGATGGATGGAT